TCTGGAATAAGTGAGTACACTATTCCTTCAAAATTATGTGCAAAGATGATTTTTGGTTCAGAAGACCTAGAACCACTTACACGTGACTCTGACACAGAGCCACAGCCTAGCTCCTCACACTGTGGTCCACAGACCAGGAGGACCTGCAGCACCACCACCTGGGAGCTTGTCAGAGATACAGTCTCGGGGCCCACTGGAGACATGATCAATCAGAATTTGCATTTGAACCACAGACTTTGGGGATTTTTATTTGTAATGAAGTGGACAAGTGCTGGTCTAGAGCAGGTGTTCTCACCTTGTCAGTGTTGACATTGGGGACAGGATACTAATTTGGGGTGGTGGGTGCTTTCCTGTGGATTTTAGGTATTAGTGGCATCCCTTCAGACATTGCCACACATCCCCAGGGGGGAATTATTTCTGGTTGACAACCACTGCCCTAGAAGCATCTGACACAATTATAATCAAGGCCCATTACAAACTCAGATATTAACTTTGGGCCGATCACTATGCAATGGGACTTCATTTGCAGGTCCCGTTTCTGCAATGGAGAACAGAGTTCATAAATGTGCTTTCACATTAATAAGTTGTTTATAAAACTTATATCAGACAATCCTTTAAGGGTGCTAAGCTCCGTTTATAGTGAATAAAATGATCTAAGTATATCTTTCAGAATTAACAATCCTTTTTATAATGAGGGCCTAAATGACAGTTCTTAACTTGGGACGGAAGTATGAAATTCCTAATTGTTATGGCACAAGTGTCAGGAAGACAATGCATGTGGTGGCCAAGGTTTCTTGTCAAAAGGATCAACTTGTTGAAAATGAAAACAGAAATTTTCCAGAGATATCAGGACTATGTCTCCACCCGAAGTCAGTGCTGAAGGCGGGAGAGGCCTAATGCGGGCGGGTTCCTGTCTTAGACTTGGAGAAAATGGAACTCAGAGTTGAGAGGAGGTTCTAGGAGATTTAGAGATCTGGAAGAGAGGAGAACTTCATGGAGAAGGAGTTAAAAAAGAAACAACCAAAAAAACACAAAACAAAACACTGAATTCATAAACTTTTATCAGGTCTACAGGTAACAGAAAATCCGGAATAATTTTCTTTCTGTCGAGAACATTTTTCCACTGGGGACTCGTGTGTCTAGAGTTTGGAGTAACAAGAGGGAAATGTGCCTGAGGAGCAGGTAGAGGGATTTATAAATATCTCCTCGTCTCCAGTCCCTCAGCGAGTGTAAACGTAGGCTGGGAGGAGCACGGTTATGTTTGTTTGTATTGCCCTTTGTTTGTTTGGAGCCCTGATTCGGGCTGGAGAAGGGTGCTTCCCACCTTCCTGCTGTCTTCCCTGGGAGCAGAGCTTTGGTGTCTATCACTATGCATCAGGGAGGGGTTCAGACATCCCCACACTGACCTTCCTCTCAGGGATCTTCCCAGGTGAGCCCCCAAACACAGCTGACCTTGCATGAGAGGGTCACAGAGAACGGAAGCCAAGTACATTTACCTGTTGTCGCCTGAGAGCTAATTCAGCTTAGCTGTCCAGAGGCAAGAGGCTGTTGTGTGCTTGCTTGACTGGGTAGTGTATTTATTTCAGTGACTACATGAGGCTTCATACATAATGTGACTGCTGCTCACACTTTTGATGATCTTTCATCTCTATATCATTAAATTGCTGTCATATCAATGCTATTAAAATATGTTTAAACTTTTAAATGTAAACTGTGGTCTGATTGGGGTGATTTTATCCCCCATGTGTGGCACTGAGCTATGTCCAGAAAGATTTTTTCTGTCATACTGGAGAGGGGTGGGTGGAGGCAGGGATGCTCTAAACCACCTTCAGTGCACAGGACCGACCTCACCACAGAACAGTCTGGCCTGAATGTGAACAGTGCTGAGCCTGAGACACTCTGAGTTAAATAATATCATTATTTGTGATACTTAGAGCTGATGCCAGGTTGTTTTCCAAAATTGCAACACTTTTCTGCCAAAAAATTGCTGCCAGTTTAAAGGTTCCAACCCAAATCAATGTGGCTGCACTTCTGGTTTTTTCCCGAGCTGAAGGGTGCAAAAGCAATGGGAGAAAGGGGCTGGCCTGTCCCCTATGGGCCCCACAAAGCTAGCCGGTCAAAGGGCCGCGCCAGGGGACAGCACGCTCGTCTCCCGGGCTCGGTGCAAGCGCAGCGTTGGCTCCTGTCCCCGTGAGAGCCGGTCAGCCCCGCTCAGCTGTCAGGCGGACCGTGCGCGAGGCACCTTGGCCTCCCGGACAAGCTGATATTTGTTCTCTCTATTTTGCTGGCGTCAGCGGAATGTGTTAAGGCTTTAAGTGCTGCCAGAAGCAGGATTTTTCTTCCTCGCAGTCTCTCGGGGACCCCTGAGCTTCTGACATCTCCCCTCCTCCTCATCCGCTTCATTCTTCCGCCCCGATCTCTGCACCTTCTCCTTTGGTTAAACAGGTTACTTTGTGTGTTTGATTAAGCACAGGGCAGAAAATGGGCATCCCAGCATGGAACCCCAAGTCTATTTGTCTACGGAAGGCTTAAGAATTGGAATTTCTGGAAACATTTCTACATTTGACAGGCAAAAGATCGCTGGCCTGGCCAGCTTGGGTCGTATCGATTCCCAGCAAAATCCACGTGGTTGGGGTGAGACGGACATGGGAGCACTACCTAGGAGGCCACGGAGTGGGGTGTGTGTGTGTGCATGTGTGTGTGTGTGTGTGTTGGATGTGAGCAGTCCTCAGAGCAGGGATAGCTGCACTCATGTTCCAAGGTGGCTCTTAGGGTATGAGGCCAGCACTCAGTGGAGGGGAGGCTCTAAGGAGGGGATCTCTCCCATTCCCGGGGCACCTTTGCAACAATATTAATAACGTATGAGAGGCAGTGTGGACGAGGAAGTCCCTGTGCCTGAGGTTTCAGCAGCAGCAGAGAGGCCACCTCACTGCTCAACTTGTCTGACACCACTTCTCATCACTGTCCCTCACGCTCACTCACCCTGCAAACTGGCTTCACTTCTTTTGAGTTAAATATTTACAACAAACACCTTCCTCGGGGCCTTTGCATAGCCTTTCCCTCTCCCTGGCACACATCTTCCCCCATAGCCTTGAGTCTCCCATCCTCTCTTGTGTTAAACAAAAAAATTTCTGGGCCAAGTGCTTTTCTTTTAAAAACCGAAAGGGTTTATTTAGCCAAATGCCAGCCAGAAAAGGACCAGGTTGGGGCATGAAGTCTAAACCACCAGCAGCAGCAGAGAGAGACCGAAAAGACAACATGACCACTGTCCTGAAGTTGACAGGATTTTATACTTTATGTTTTGAGGAAGGAAGATATAAGTCGTTTTGAAAGAATTTACACTGTCTACAGACGGGGCGGGGACAGAGGAAGGTAAAGTGGGGCAGTTCCAAGATAGGTACACAAGGAAGAATATTTACTACTTTTGATGAGTTACAGGCAACAGTGCTGAGAGCTCAGGCACAGGCAGGATGCAGGGGCATCTAGTGGCCACTGCAGAAGCTGATTCGAAGTTCCACACGCACTCAGGAAGGGGGGCAGTCTTTTGTAAGTCGGCCCACAGCTTTCAGCTGGTTGACTACTATTGTCTTCTTCTCTCGCTCTGTGTCCTCAGTGTTATTTAATTAGGGACATCTCAGAATTTTCCCCTGCTCACTTATTTGAGGTCTCTGCTCAAATGTCACCTTGTTTGTATATTGACCTACACAGCCATGAAAAAGAGAACTCCCTTCCCACGCTCTCCTTTAGACGTGCTTTCCTTTTCTTCACACCACCTGCCACCATCTGAATAATTTATTATTTTATTATTTGTTTCTACATTATTTCTCCTTGATTGGATTGTAGAGACTTGCTGTTCAGCACCCTATCTCACAGCCTGGACAGAACTGAAAACATGGTCAGCACTCAATTTGTATTCCTGGGAACCAAAGAAATTCTCACTAAAACTGTAGAATACACGAGCCTCTCAGAAACATAGGTGATTGGGACAGATATTCCATATGAGGGGTGTCACTGGATATCCCCTAAATGGGACCATATTCATACACAAAATATTAAAATTAATGTGTGGACTGCAAAATATGAATTGTAGCATTTCCCATATGTGAATAATGCAAGTTTGTAGGTNAACTGGCTTCACTTCTTTTGAGTTAAATATTTACAACAAGCACCTTCCTCAGGGCCTTTGCACGGCCAGTCTCTCTGCGGGGCACACACTTTCACGCATAGCCTTGTGTCTGCCTTCCTCCCCACGTTAAACAAAAAATTTTCAGGACCACATACTTTTCTTTAAAAAAACGGGGGGGTAAGTAGGTGTTTACCCAAATGCCAGCCAGAAAAGGACCAGGTTCTGGGGCATGAAGTCTAAACCACCAGCAGGAGCAGAACAAGATAGAAAAGACAACATGTCCACTTCTCCTGAAGGTGACATATACTTTATGCCAGGGATGGGGAACCTTTTCTGCCTAGCGCCTTTGGGATATTTATAACATCATTTGCAGGCCATACAAAATTATCAGTTTAAAAGTTAGCTATGCCTGGCTGGGCTTGGCTCAGCGGTTGAGCGTCGACCTAGGATCCAGGCGATCGGGGTTCGATTCTCAGTCAGGGCACATGCGTGGGTATCTGCCCGATCAGTTGGGGGGCGAACAGGAGGCAGCTGGTCAATGACTCTCTCATCATTGATGTTTCTATCTCTCTCTCCCTCCCTCTCCTTTCCTCTCTGAAATCAATAAAGACATATTAAAAAAAAAAAGTTAGCTATGAAAAAAACTCCTAGGTTTATTGAATTTCAAGTCCCACCTGCAGTTGCCTTGGCTGACTCAGACCAAATAATTTCCAGGGCAGTGTATGAATTGCAGCATTTCCCATATGTGAGTAATGCAAGTTTGTGGGANGGACTGCAAAATATGAATTGTAGCATTTCCCATATGTGAATAATGCAAGTTTGTAGGTAAATTAGTCATGTCATTTTCCTCTTTCCTGGTAGTCGCCTCCTCCACATGGAACCAGTGAATCTTACACAAATTTCAGAATTTCTTCTCCTGGGATTCTCAGAGGAACCAGAACTTCAGCCCCTCGTCTTCGGGCTGTTCCTCTCCATGTACCTGGTGGCCGTGCTGGGAAACCTGCTCCTCGTGCTGGCCGTCGGCTCAGACTCCCGCCTCCACACGCCCATGTACTTCTTCCTGTCCAACCTGTCCTTGGTGGACATCTGCTTCACCTCCACCACCGTCCCGAAGATGCTGCTCAACATCCAGACACAGAGCAAAGTCATCACCTATGAAGGCTGCATCAGCCAGATTTATTTTCTTATACTCTTTGCGGTGTTGGATGTCTTCCTCCTGACCGTGATGGCCTATGACAGGTATGTGGCCATCTGCCACCCCCTGCACTACACAATCATCATGAAACCCCAGCTCTGTGGACTGCTGGTTCTGGCATCCTGGATCACAAGTATCTTAAATTCCATGCTACAAAGCTTAATGGCATTACGACTATCCTTCTGCATGGACTTGGAAATCCCCCACTTTTTTTGTGAACTCAATCAGATGATCAAACTTGCCTGTTCAGACACCTTTTTAAATAACATGGTGATGTATTTTTCAGCTCTCCTGCTTGGTGGTGGGTCATTCGCTGGGATCCTTTACTCTTACTCTAAGATAGTGTCCTGCATACACGGAATGTCATCAGCTCAGGGGAAGTATAAAGCATTTTCTGCTTGTGCCTCTCACCTCTCGGTTGTCTCCTTATTTTATTGTACAATGCTGGGCGTGTACCTCAGCTCTGCTGCTACTCACAGCTTACACGCCAGTGCAATGGCCTCTGTGTTGTACACCGTGGTCACACCCATGCTGAACCCATTCATCTACAGCCTCAGGAACAAAGACATCAAACAGGCCCTGAAAACATTCTTTGTGAAGGAAACTACAAGCAGGCCATTGTCCTAAGGATGAAGGCCTGCCCATGACTGCCCAGGTCAAAGGCTCTGAATTGGATATTCTGATTGTCTTCAGACTATGGAAGTAGAACTTGCTCTTTCCATTTATTTCCTGGAATTTCCATTTCTTTGACCTCATCTTCTCTATTCAATTTACGTAACTCAGTTAAGCTTTCTGCTCTGTCAGATATCCATCAGCTTTCCTCTTTGTGGTTTTTCTATTATTCCAAATTTATTTCTAACATGGAGTAAAACAATTTGGAAAATCCCATTTACTTAATGAGACAACATGGATATTTTTAGAATAATTTGGCTAAAATGACATATATATCACCAAATAATTGGTTTTTACTAAAACAATCATCCCGAATTGTGCTACTTCTATGGAAAAAACTACCCTAATGACCAAGGCAATTTACACAATTTTATGAGTGGAAAGTCAGAGACCTCTCTTTTTCATTGTTATGTCTGACATTCTTTTGTATATCACCATCTTAACTGCTCTTCCTGATAATGTGGACTCTAACATGCAGGTGTGTTTAATACCTGGTGACTGCTGTTTCTTCTCCTCTTTAAGATCCTGTTCTCTTTCAGCTCAGTGTTCACAATCCCTACCTTAGCCACTTGCAAAGTGATTATCGAACATTTGTCTCCAAGAGGGCTGTTCATTGAAAGACACGTTTCAATAAATAGGTTGACCTAGTACCACCTTAATATCACAGATAAGTTTCAATACATGAAGTAAATTTTAAAATCACACATTGTATTACTGTGTAAAATAGTTCTTCTTCATGGTGTACATCTACTCATTGGAGTATGGAGGAACGATGCATATTCATAAAGTGGTTTATTCATATGATTGAAGTTTGGTTGGTATTTTTCCATGTTGTATTGAATTATCTTTATGTTCCTGCTTGAGAACTTTCAGTGCTGCCTCTGATAGGACTCTTTTCATTACTATAAAGAATATAGATCCCATTTCTAAATTTTCCATAAGCCTGGAAGAGATGGTGAATGATCATTATCACTTTCTTCCAATATATGTCTCTCTCATGCTCAGGATTCTATTCATCTTTAATGGTCAAACAATGACTCAGGATAGAACTTGCATTCTTGTTTAGTCCTGTAAATCAGGGTCACCAGATTTCCCACACNGATTCTATTCATCTTTAATGGTCAAACAATGACTCAGGATAGAACTTGCATTCTTGTTTAGTCCTGTAAATCAGGGTTGCCAGATTTCCCACACAAACATATGTGTTCTTTCCACCTCTCCTGGTTACAAGGAAATGAACCCCCAATAAGAGTTTCTAAATACAGTTGTCTGAAGTAGGTGAAAATAACTCAGTAACCATGAATGCCGTCTTCAGAAATTACAACAAATGCCAACAACAATCAGCAGCATATCATTACTGCCCTCACTCCTGTTCACTTTGATAATTGTATCAGTAAGTATTGCCGCATGACAAGCCAACCTACAAGCAAATTATTTAATGTAATGTCATTCTCACCAAGTGAGATTGTATGGCTGGGAGGTGTTCTGAGCTCTGCCTGTCCCCTTGTGAGTCTATAGTCAGCTGTGAGTCTCTTCGTTTGTTTCTAAGGCTCATTCATGATGTTGTGTGTGACCATGGTGCCCTTCTCCCTTGAAGCAATATATGACCAGATTACCCTATTTCTATATCTACTTTTATCTTCTATTTTAAAGAAAAGAAAGAATACCGAATGTGAATTGTTTTATTTTACTTCTACTGTTCCTATATCCATGACACTTTGCTTTCTTCCCAGTTAGAAGAGATTCCTCCTACCATTTCTCTGCCTGAATCAGCCACCAGAGCTCTAGATCCTAGCCTTTTGTCCTTCTAAGTAATTCATTGAAGTATAATTACAGAATATAAACTGATCATGAAAATGCACAATTTGATGTATAAAAGCCATACAAACATTACAGTCCATACTTCATGGTTCCATTTCTGTATAAGTCAAGAAACTGCACAATAAAATTTAATGGTTTCTTAATGTAATTGTTAAACATTTAATATGCCTGAGCATCAATGTCCTTATTTCTGAAGGTCATGTGGAAAGTAAACTTGACTTTGGATGGATGTTGAAAAAAATAAACAAGATATGTGGATATATTTTATTGAGCCCGAACTAAATGTTCAAAGGTAAAGTTGTGTGTTTGTATATGTGTGTTCATTTGTATAAATTTTAAGTTCAAACACACACACATATGTACACAAAACAAACTCACTTATAATCTCATAGTTTATGTTGAAAGGAAACTTAAGAGAAAGTTGAAGAGGATAGAAATGAAAAGAATAAGTGTTTGAATGGACATAAAATGAAAAGAAGCAGAAATTTGGACATGAAGATGTGAAGTAAATGGTAGACAGGACTTATATCATGAATTACTTTTCCTATGTTAATACCTCAAAGGCATCAAAATCTGAAGCACATTTGCATTTATGCAATAAGAAATTCTCTACCAGCTAAAGAGGCTGAGTATCTCCAAACTGGTTACAAATTTCTTCTACGTAAGGGAGGATTACAGCTCAAAATGCCTTTAACAGGGGATGCTAACTGAATGGATTGAGACACTTATTCTCAGTTTCCTGAAGAAAATTTCATTGAATAATTGTCCGTATTCAGTTTTTAAAGCTAATGTAAAATTACCGCATGAGTGATTTAATACAAGCACATTTGTGCTGTTACAGTTCCTGAGGTCAGAAACAGTAAATGGGCCTCAGTGGGCTAAAATCCAAATGTTTGCAGGGCTAGGTTTCTTCTGGAGCCTGCAGGGAAGAATCTATTTACTTTCCTATTGCAAGCTTAGATAATAGTGCAAAAAAATTCTACATATAATTCTTATAATTAACAAATATTTCAGAGCGAGGGACTAAATGACAGCCCTTAACTTGTTGTATAAGGTTGAAATACCAAATTGTTTTGGCTAATTTCTCATGAAGCCCAGTGATATAAGTTTATATCAAAGGAACTTAGTTCTCCCCCTTGTTGAAAAAAAATAGCAATTTTATGTAGATGTCAGGGCCTGTGTCCCTACCACATGTCAATATTTGGAGATTCCAGTTTTCTAATGCAGACTTGAAATATTTTCAATCAGAGTTGGGATAAGATGCTGGGAGGTTAGTCCACTGAAAGCCAATAGACGCTGAATTCCCTTGACTTCTAACCTGGTCTTTTGGGAACACAGAGTCTCCAGGAAAACTTTCCATTGTGTCTGACCCACAGGGAAATCATGTGATCAGAGGTTGGAATAACAAGACAGAATGTACCTAATGAGCAGGCCCAGGGAGCTGTAAATATCGCCTCATCTCCAGTCTCTCAGCGTGAACAATCTTGGACTGGGTAGGACTCGGTTGTTGCTTTTGGACCAAAGTTTGTCTAGGAGACCAATGCTTGCCTCCTCCCTGCTGTCTTGTCTGGGAAGAGAGCTTCAGTCTCCATCATCAGCCTTCCAGGAGGTTGGAATTTCACACCGAGGCCTTCCCCTCACAGTTCCCAATGAGGTGAGTCCAACGGCCCAGAGGGTACTGCGGGAAAGGGCCGGAGAGCATCAAAGCCAAGTCATTTACCTGAGGTCTCTTGACAGCCATCAGCCTCTGGCTGTTTGCTTGTCTGATTAACGAATTAATGATTAATTTATGATGCTAATAGGAGAAGTGAACCCTGAACTAAGCAACACATGGGTAACTGTTGACAATTAACTGATGGAAGCCCAATTAGAGGTGGCAATGGGAGGCATAAAGTCTTTCAGGTAAAAGCAGAACATATACAGTGAGTTTTGCAATAAAGGGAGTAGGACAATAGAGTAGTAGGTAGGGAGGGCTGCCCAGGAAAGTGAGGGCAGTTCTTCTTTACTTTTATCACGGGGCCTATTCAACCACAGGTCCATATTGATGAGAAAGTACAGATCCAGTTTATTTCTTGCCAATATTACCTTGCAGCAGTAGTTCATGAGACATGCATTTCACAGGGTCTTCTTTCACTCTGTATTCAGTTCACATGAAAAGGAATTTCCTTGATAAGTGTAAAGTGCTGTGGTAAGTGGCTGAGCTTTGCAAATACTTCATTGCCTGTGACCAGAATATTCTGGCGGGTTAGTTATTCCTTTGTTTTCTCTCCTGTAAATTGTCTGTACAAGTCATGGCACTTGTATAGTGTGTCCAGAGTGCTTTTACTCCTGTTTTTTATTGCATTCTTCTAAACAAAGAACTGGGGATTTTGCTATCAACTTTATTGTCATTGAGTAATTTTATGTATGTATATGGGGGGAATTGTGGGAGTTTATTAATAGTGTGGGCTCAAATCTATCACTGAGTCATATTGTATTCTCTCCATTGCTTTTTATATACAAGAGGCACAAGAGAAACCAGACTTGTATAGCTTGATATTAAAAATATTCAACCTGTGTTGTTTTTGTGAATTATTGGTTTATTTTTTTTGGTCAGTTTTCATTTGGGGTAGTCAATCTGTAAGCTGTTTCACACTTATATTTCAAGTATCTTTGTCTTTTGGAGAAATTTATTCTTTCTCCTCTGTTCCTTTGCCTGCCTTCAAAGGGGTATAATTAGGGTTGGAAGGCTGCCAGAATCCAAAGAAGATTTTTCTTCCTCATTGTCTCTCAGGGACCCCCTGAGCTTATTAGATCTCTTTTCTTCCTCAGGTCCACTTTATTGCTGCCTCTCCCTCTGTGTTTATTTAAGCTATTGTTTATGTTTCTTTAAATACAGGGCAGAAAATGGGCATAGTAATATGGAACCCCAAGTATATTTGTCCGTGGGAGGCTCATGACGGGAATATCTACGTACTATTTCTAAATTATTTTTGGAAGAGGTACTTGACCTCAACAGCTTGACTTGTGTCTCCTCACAGCCTAAATTGTTTGGAAGGGAGGGAGAAGGTCATGGAAATAACACTGATGAGGAGGCCATGGTGTGCTGTGGTGTGTGTGTGCCTAGTGAACTGAGAGCAGTCCTCAGAGCAGGG